GACCAACCGACCAACCAACCAACCGACCAACCGACCAACCAACCAACCGACCAACCGACCAACCGACCGCCCAACCAACCAACTGACCGCCCGACCAACCAACCAACCGCCCGACCAACCAACCAACCGCCCAACCGACCGCCCGAACGACCAACCGACCAACCGACCAACCGCCCAACCAACCAACCGCCCAACCAACCAACCGACTCACCAACCAACCGACCCACCAACCAACCGACCCACCAACCAACTGACCCACCAACCAACCGACCCACCGACCCACCGACCGACCCACCGACCGATCCACCAACCCACCCAGCGACCGACCCACCAACCCACCCACCGACCGACCCACCAACCCACCCACTGACCGACGCACCCACCCACCGACCGACCAACCAACCGACCCACCCACCGACCGACCCACCAACCCACCGACCGACCCACGCACCCACCCACCGACCGACCCAAGCGCCCACGTCCCACCCACCCACTCACACACACACACACACACACACACACACACACACACACACACAAATATACTTGGAAGTTATATATAAACTCATATAAATATATATATATTATTTTTTATATATATATTTTTCCAATTCTTTTTATTTTTTTCTATTTTTTCTATTTTTTCTATTGTTTCTATTTTTTCTATATATATATTTTTCTATACATATATGTTTTTTTCTATTTTTTTCTATTTTATTTTCTTTATTTTTAGGCCCCCTTCTATGTACACCCTATAGTTTGGGATGTTTTTAAGGAAAACTCTTTATGCCCAAGTGGTAATTCGCCTCCCGGTAATGGTTCGCACCCTCTGGATACTCGCGACCCTTCGAAAAAAATGTGTGAGCATCCGAGGCTGCTAGAAAAAATTTCTTGAGGTTACCATTTTTTTGGCGGGTTCGTTACTCCGGTATGATAGTCGTCCTGACCAGAATGGTACTATTTAGTCGCGAGTGTCGAATGCTCTAATCCTCTTCAAAGGTCGGCCTAACAGAATGGAAGTAGTGCTCTACTGTTGAACGCTGCTTCTCTTCTGTTGAGGCTGGACCTTTCGCATCAGCGCTCTTCGTCATCGTCCTTTTCTGCATCATCTTCCCGCCCTCCCTTTCTCTGTTCGAGGATCTGCGGACTAGTTCTTGTGGTCGAAACTCTACGGTATTGATGCCCCGGTCGCTCAAAGCTTATTTCGTCCTTTCCTAGCTTAAAGTTTGCTATTCATCCACGGTCGCAGAGGCCTTACTCCGACGTGAGTATCCTGAACTGTGCTATTTCATCCCGCAATGAGTGTGTCGTCAACTGCTGCTGGATCGTATGCGGTAACTAAAGCATTGCTCCCAACCCACCCCCTGACTCCCTTCCCCCTCTCATTGCTTTTCTATCTACCCTCCCATGCTTTGTATATTCCACTCCCTTTCGGAACGATAACGAAGGGTAATTCTTCCCCCTGATGAGCCAATCCGGTGGATACTGGCGAAAAAGCTCTAAGGAATTTTCACCAATACCCTTGCATGTTTCGTCAGCATTTAAGGGGCCGCTTGGCCGAATTGGGATTTTTTATAAAGCCTCTCATACACATTACCCTCTCTCTCTCCCCTGATCATTGTGGATGCTTCCTAATTGTGTGTGTCTCCCTTGTTATGTATGTCTTCGTTGCTGTGATGAGTGTGCGTAGGAATTGATCGCATCTTCGGGATTGAAGTAAACTCGTGTTCTTCGCGTTCGTTAGAGGATGGATACTACTGCTTTCATTGCCATCATTGCCATGTTCATGGCCACTCTGGCCTTCTTCATGTTTCAGGATTCGGCGCATAATTGCTCCTGTTGTGCATGCTTGATGTGTGCGTGCAACTACACCATAGCAGCTAGATCTTTGCAAAAGTGCTTTGCATAGATATCTAGAGATGGCTGCTCTCATCGCGATTTCGTTCTTTCAGTTGTTGGTACTTGTATTTGACTCCGCGATGATGTCGACCATTTGTACGCTTTCCATTCTCCATCAAGGCAGTCTAGTTGGGGTTGTTGGTGGGAGGGGTCTCTGCCCAGTAATTGCTCTTTCTGATGCATTGATATGGATTGTTCCTTTCTTATTTATGATCGTGTGTGCGTACACTTTGAGAACAATCTGGAATCATCGTAGAGTGCGTGCATGGAATGGGAGGGTCTCTGTTTCGGATAATATGGGCACGGATGTAGTGTGCATACGGTGGAGCTGCTCCTCGTTGTTCTATTGTTGATCGTGTTTCTTCATAGGCTGATGAGAGGAAAGTAGTCTATGCAGATAGGCTTTAGTCTTTTGGGAGTGGATGGTACGAGATGAACACGAAAAGGAGGATCTGGATCTCTGCATGAGCAATTTTTTTTGAGCCATGAAGGAGTAGTGTCGGGATAGTATCTTCTGCTTGTAGTCTGAATTCTCGTTGATAGCTTTTTTTTACTCTCCCTCTCTCTCTCTCTCTCTTTCCCTCTCTCTCTCTCTCTCTCTCTCTCTCTATCTATCT